AAACCTCACTTCTTCGGATGCATCCGAAGAAGTGAGGTTTTTACTCACGAAAGCTTATGCCCAAATAAATCTGTTAGTCTTTAAGGTGCCACCAGACTCCTTGTTGTTTTTGTAGATACAGACTAACACGGCTACCCCCTGATACTTGACAATAATTATGTCATACTCATGACATAATCATATCACTATGATGAATATGGGGTGCAGAGTGTCACAACCCCCACCCTGCAGCTGAAGCCCGGAGCCCCGAATGGAGGGGGGCTGTGGAGGGCTCCAGGAAATACTCGATGAGAATTTAAACCCTGGAATGAACGCCTGGCATTCCGCAGAAGGGGAGTGCCCAAAAAATTGAAAGCAATTCAGGCTGTCTTTTTATATCTCTGTAATTACTGCAAATCCTGCAGATAGATCTGTCCTTCCCCTCCCCTCCTTTTCTCCCAACTCTCTTTGTGGGTTAGGATGAAGCTGGTATATTTGTTGTGTTTGGAAAACTAATTAAAACGTATACATCATACCTTAAAAATCGCAATATCTCATGTCGACATTTTCAAAACGTTTCGATTTTCCATTTGAGATTTTTTCTTTCAACCATGTCTCGGGATGATTGAAATGAACTTTTCTCCCCTGACTTTTTGATTCACTGGAAAATTCAAAACTCTTTGACCCAGATTTACTCTTTGTGGTTCTCACTGCTCCCGCACGTTGGTTTAACTTGGCATGAGCGAGCCGCAGTAATCCAGGACGAGGCAAAAATAAAAATAACCGTGTTAAGTGCGTCCCAAAAGTAGGATGAGCACGTGTGAAAAACCGGGAAACTTTTGCTCAGGGAGGGAGGTAGAGTTGCACAAACCTTTTATATTGGGACGATCTCGATATTATTGGAACAACTGGTCACCCCATTCAAAAGCCAAGGACAAGGAATTCACGATCTTTGGTGAAAACTGCAGCTTTGATAACATCAAAATGTCCCAGAAATTCAGAACGATTTTACCAAATTGTTCATTTCGGCTGTGTAAACCCAGGTGCAAGAAATAGGAGTGTCAGCAGCAAAGGCTAAAAATGTGTGGAAGGAGACTATTGAGACAGGGAGAAAACTAACACAATATACTGTGTACATGTGGCATGAGAACAAAGCATGACATGCACAGGAAGTGGGCCTGAAAATAACTGAACCAACCATAAAGTGCATGATTTCATGTAAAATGGAGGATGCATGCATCAGAATAGGGTTAAATTTGTATATAAAGTAACCAATACTTGCTGAGTCGGAGA